CTCCTTGGTTCTTGTTTTATATGACCCCGTTCCATTTATTTCTTAAATAATCTGTCGCAGAAACGCTTTTTGTGACTCATTGTCTCCAGTTTCTTCGCATTGATGCACCTTGGTCGAAATAAATTACATTTCTACTTTATACATCCCCTTTGAACCCAATCTTTCGAGAAAATCTTGTAGAATGCGTTTAAGTCCGGACTTTAGCAGCTTCCTTTATCTCGTTTATTCCTAATGTGCGGCCATATGTGGTTTGAATTTATACAAAACCATATTATAAGTTATGCCCATAGTAGTTTACTCTAACTTCGAGCGGCAGGCTGTTAATCCGTCCGAAGTAAATATCTCTTATACTATGTAGAAGCAGACTGCCGTGTTCAGTCTTGGTTATTGCCAATAGCAAACAAAAGTTAACCTTCGACGTCACTGCAATTTCGCCTATTTATACTCACCTTAGTACGGTTGATATTCGTGTTCAAATGTGCTTTTATTTTTTAAAGTCTACTTCCATCCAACCAAGATGCTTACAGATTCTCAACAATAATATAAGCATGAGAGATGAGATCGTCTCTGATGACTGAGATACGGCTCTTCTTACGTCTTTCTTCAAATATGGAAACAAGCAGAGTAAAAAACGGTAGCATCATTAGTCTCGTCGAAATTGTTGCAAAGATCTTTGCTTGTGCCATGTTTAAGCAGTTTCAACGTAGTCGTCGAAGAAACCCCCTATAAGCTGCGTGTGGATATATTGACCAACTTTTACCGTTAAATCGTATACTCAAATTTCACCATGAGTAGGAGCATTCAACGGCAGTCTGCCTTCGTTCTTCCGTTCATTGTGAGCCCTTTTACGGAACAGAAAGTAAACGGTGTGATGGTAGATGTCATGGCTTTAGTCATATACGTGCGCTTACTGTTGCATACCACTCTCCTTTACTCACACACATCTGGTCACTAATCTTGTTTATTGATTGGAGTATTGGAGAAACTGTCATTGATCTTGAGGGCTTTGCATTTGCAACGGTGTGTCAGATGACGGACCTCGATAATGCTGACGATATCGTCTGGAATCGTCCGAGATGCAGGATGCGGCGTTCCGGGCGACAAGGTCGCTCGACGACACACGCTCACTAAAATGTCGCGATTTGTTACATCTTAAATGGCGGTGGCTGTCCCGTTGCGTTCTATTGTGGTGTTGAACTTTACCCTTACTGACGCAGTGTGTATTAAATCCGGCAGTTAAGATGACTCTAGCGGCTTTGGCAGCGCCTTTCAAGCCATGACCTTTAGCGTGTCTTCTAAGAGAACTTTGTGCACGACTTACCAAAGGTGCTTGTTATTGACTGCCGTACCGGCCATGCAAAATCTGATTTTATGCTGTTTATCGTTAAGTAAGTGCACTCCAGTTCTCTCCTGAAAGTAAACTCTAGATGTCTGTTCAAACTTTATTGCCAGCGGCAGGTTGAAGTACAAATTTGATCAAAGCTTTTTTCGACTTAGTTTTCGGACAGCGTATATGTAAACATTTAAGAAAAACGATTCAGATCCAACCTAAGTGTGTCGCTCGTTCGATTTGAATATCTTTAGGTGGATACATTCTGTCACAATTTGCCCCACAAGGCACAAGTTGATCGTCATATGTTTCGATCAGTTTATTTGGCTTTTTAGATTCTGAAGCTGTCGGTTTCGATCACAGGTACATGTCCTCCGCGTCCATAGCTACGCAGGCTTTGGAGGAGGCTGGCTTGTCTACGGAGGCGATAGCAAGCGAATTTTCAACACTTCGCGGCGGCAGTCATGCCGATGAACTGTTCTTGGACGAATGCCTCCAACAGTTGGAAGCGGCTAAAGATACCTCCCTAGACTTCCCAACGGCCTTCACCAGCCTTCTCGAATACACTCGAGAAAAGCTAAACACGGGACATTGGAGCGAAGTGCCGGATTGCTGGCGGATTTCCTATGCCCTTCTCCGACTAGCTTCTGCTATCGTGCGCCTGCATGCTGCCGCCGCGAAAACCGAAGACAGTGCCAGTCAGTTAAAGCTGGCGCTTTGGGAGTTGGATGATGCTCTCATCATGGGTTTCTGCAGCCTCAATGAGAGTATCACCAGAGTAGCCAGTTTGCTTAATGAGTTGACACATGACCCTGCTTCGGAGCAGCACCGCTTCCCCAACGCCTATCCCTCATTGAGTCCGGCTGTCGATTTGTCGACTTTCACCTTCAAAGGCGAGAGGATTTCTGAGCTTCGCAGGGTGCATCAACCCTCACCCAGTGAATTTGCACGGATTCTGGCTAAGGGCGTGCCAGTAA